TCACTTCATGTGTCAAAATATAGACTAGCTGGTGTTTTTCATCTAATTGCAGTAAATTGAATCAGTAGTATGTAAAATTTTGAAAGGAGGGCTTTTGGCAAGGAATTTTCTTATCCCCAGGTAATATTTACATGTGTTTTTTTTTTTTATTTTATTAATTTTATTCTTCTTATACCTAATAAGGAGTAAAACTTCTCAATACTTTATCAACTGTCTCGCTGAATCATTCAAACTGACCTGTATTGATTGATTTTGTATTTGTGGCAGCATAAGAACTTTATTTGTCCATCTATCTAGTTCTGTGTCTTTTTCTCGTGTACAATTACTACGTGACCTTTGACTATGTTAGGAAATATAAGTATTCATTCTGTGTTGATGTGAATTGTTGGTATTGAAACACTGTGCTCTCAACTGTGAAAGTACTATCCACAGCTATCAAGCCTTTTTGAATGCTGATGGGGTGTACACAATGCTCGATACATACAATAAAAATAGATCATTTGTGAAATATTTACACTTGGAATTTGCTTTCCCTAGTATGTAGAAGTTCAAGAGATTTGTTGAGTCATACTGATTCGTAAATGGAATGATAATAAACATTTTTTATTTTTTATTTTTTTCTGTAGCAGAGAACAGGGAAAATCATTAGACATGAATCTGTAATTACAGACTCAGATGCAATGCTATCATATCAGATTCCTCTGACACCTGTTTTCTTTCATTCATAAATAAATATAGAAAACATACAGTATAATGGAAATTGAAAATAGTTTTGTTCCTCTTCAGTGATCAAAAGATTGCCAAGTGTCCTTTTAAAATATTGTAAAGTATTGTAAAACAAAAGCTTTACACTTTTGTTTTATTTTATCAGGGATTTTTTATTTTTTCTTTTACATTTGACTAACCTACCACATTTCCTCCACAATATTTTGGCTTTCTAACACCTGAAGGTTATGTTAATCTCTAGAAAAGATATTCGATATTCTGCTGTCCCTATTTGGTACTATTAATGTCATATTTTCCAATCTCTGTGTTAAATGTTTCATCTTACTCTGTCATTGTATTTCTTACTGAAGTGTATGAAGACTTATTTTTATTTTGAAGCTCAGTTGCATTTTTTTTTATTGAAACTGAGAAGTTGAAAACATTATGTATCAAACAACTTGCATGTGCTTTTTGATTTTGTATAACCACAGAAATGATTTTCAGCCACAAATGGAAGTATAAGATGAACTTTCTCTTAAAATATTTTACATTGTTTGTTCATTGGAATGCTAGCCTAAGTTCAAAATTTGGGAGGTACTCGGGTTCAGATCTGGTTTACATTTGCAAATTTGACTTGCTGAGCATTTTATGTCTCTGTGTATTTCCATTTTGGTGTCCCCCATCTATATATAGGGTTATTATTAAAAGTATTATCCTGGTATATTCTGAGAGGAGTGACAATAACTTAGAACTGTAGCAGCAAAGATAGAGGTGTTAGAATTTAGCATTTGTAATGAAAATTGATTGCTAGAAATCATGTATTTGAGAAAACATATTGTATATTTAAAACTTATCCAGTGAAAATGCAGTCAATATATCATGTAGATATATTTTTGAAACATTTTAGGTAAACATTATAAAATGTACATAGTTACCTGTAACCAGCATTCCAACATTTGCAAATGGAGGAAAACAAATAAAATGGCCAGCATCTTTTTTTTTTTTTTTTAAATTTTAAAATAATGCAGAAAGTCAATACAGTACTTATAAAGAAAGTAAATACTTGGAACCCAGAAAAAAAAATAAAAATCAAACACCCTCTCTTTTATTGTCTAAAGCATTGATTTTGCAGCTGCTCTAGATTGGAGTAGATAGCCAGATTCATATTTTCTTCAGCTTTCCAGAATAAACTATACAGATGCTCACCAGTTACAGATATTACAGGCAGAAATAGCACATGTACTGTCAGGCTACTAAACACAGGAAATAATTGCTGTTCACTTTTCTAATAACTTAGCATTGTTATCTCATTTTATGAGCATAAGTTTATCAAGTAGAGCATTAAATCACTTTCATTTTTATGAGGATTATATCAAAACACCAACAGTAGTATTCTGTATGGCTCCAAGTCTTCTGATATCTGATTTTTCAAAAACTTATTCAGTTCTTTGTCTAGAAACCTATTACCAACCAAATTTTATAACCTTTATATCTCTATATACATCACACTTCTCAAATGCATTAAGTTATTCATTACTACTTGCAATATCTCATATCTCTTAGAGGATATGTTTTTAAGTTGTTCCAACATACAGAACTATTTTTTTCTCTGTGACTCTGTACAACTTATCATGAGGTTTATCCACCTTGGTGTACAGTAATAGCTCAGATTTTTTTTTTTTTTATATATTCAGCATTTTCTCAAGATTCTTCTAAGAAAGGAAGTAGAGTTTTTGTGGTTTGGTTTGACTTTTTTCTATTTTTAGGCAGTGCTTAAGTTGCATCAATTTTTAACATATCCTTACTTTTTTTTTTTTTTTTTTTTTTTCCTAAAATAAGTAAAAAGAGAATTTATTTCCAGCTATTATGTGTATATTTGGTTGACTTCATCTAAGAAAATCACTGTATTGGAACCACATTCTGAAAAGCAGATAAATCCTTTGTAACAACACCAGTCCCACAGCAAATATCAAGTAGAGCTTACATCACCTTATGTAAGATTTGAGTATGATGGAGAAATGTATGCTAATTCTGTTCAGTTCTGGAAAATTTTGTAAAAACTGTTGTTAAAGAGGTTGTAGAAAGCTGGTGATTGATCTCTTCTCCTAAGCAACAAGCTATAGAACAAGATAAAATGGCCTCAGATTGTACCAGGGGAGGTTTAGGTTGGATATTCAGAACAAAAACAAACAAACAAACAAAAAAACTTCACTGAAAGGGTTGTGAGGCTGTGCAACAGGCTGCCCATGGAAGTAGATGAGTCACCATCCCTGGAGGTGTTTAAAAGTTGTGTGGATGTGGTGCTTAGGATCATGATTTAGTGGTAGACTTAGTAGTGCTAGGTTAATGGTTGGACTAGGATTATGGACTTATAGGTCTTATCCAACCTAAACAATTCTATGAGATAGGTAGGAGGATTCAACAAGTGAAGATGTATTTTTTCATTAGAGTCCTCATACTTGCTAACAAACCACACTTGAGAGGCGCATATTTTTTGTAGGAGCCTTTATTATTCCAGAGTGGGGTTTTCCCAGTGAGGGATTCTAACATGTAAACTCCTGAAAACAATGGTAATTGTATCTACGTTTACTGATTTCACAGTGGTGATTGCAGAAGTGTATTCATTGATTGCAGTCTGTCAAACATAAGAGTTTCCTTAGCAGCTTAAGAAAATTGTCAGTTAGTCACTATTTCTCATTTATGATGTTCAAATACTTCAGGAGATTCTTCATTATTAGTAGTGGTCATTTTGGACCAACTTGTGACACGAACAAATAATTATTTGGGAAAATATCTAACTTACAAAAAATAGTTGGATGAGATTCCCTTATAGAAGACTGCAAGAGGCTGTCTAAAAGACTTTTACTTGCAACAAATAATCTAATCACGTTTCCAAAATGGTGTCTTTTAAGATTCTTTTGCTGTAGTATTTAATTTTATGGGACTACCATACTTTAAAGGTTTTGAAGAATATTTGCTTTTCTAAGCACTTCAAATTATGTTATTGTAAATATTAAAATTTTAACTTCCTTGCCGCTATCATTCTTTCACATTTTTACCTTCAAAAATTTTATTACTGTCTTCTGTACTTGTGACTACCTTTTATGATCCATTTTGAGTTCAGGCATTTTCCTGATGTCTTACATTATGTGGCCCCCTGCTGTCTTGTAATACTGCAAGGTATACAAGGTAATCTCTACAAAATGTGCAATAGCAGTAAATAGCAATCAAAAGAGAACCGTTGTATGTATTTTTGTCTCTTGTTTTTTTGTTTTGTATGACAACTATTGGAAACATTGATTCAACTGCCAAGCCTAGGCATAAGATGATGAATAATCAAGTGTGAATAAGGAAAATCACTTTAAGTGGCTACGAGGAGTTAAGAAGGTCAAGCAGGAAGAAAACCTGTTGTAGGGATTTCATTTTAAGTGTAGGTGTCTCATCTGCTTATAATTAGAAACAGTTTTTTGGGTTTCAGCTGTGCTATGTCTTGTGTAACGACAACCCTCATCAGAGTAATTTGACTGATATTCTTACTGTCCTTTGCTGCCCTACTGTAATAAATGTTCACTTGTGTGAGACACTGAGCTAAGTCATTTGCTCTTCTATGTCTGCATAGCAGTGTGTTAGTTAAGGATGATACTTAGTCAAACATTAGCAGCTTCATTACCTTCTTACAGGGATTAACTTTATGCTACACTGGAAGGGTTTTATATTTTTCCTTTGTATTTTAGAGTCAATAGTAAAATCACAGACCAGTTAAACACCATTATTCTCTCAGACTTTTTTCAGTATGTAAGAATATCATCTTTGATAACACATCAGTGTCCTCCTTTTTTTCCTATGGAGGAAATAAAACCACTCTTTCCAAATACATTTACCCTCTGCTTCAGCTTAGTATTCCTTCAGAACAAGCTCACTATTAAGCAAAGTGGTTCGATTATAACCTTTTTTAAATAGGTCAATTTTAGAGTTATTTTTCCACAGGCATGAAGAACAGGTATAAATTACAGATCTTTAGCACTGATAGCCTGTAGCTAATTAAAATTAATTGCAAGTTTAACAGATATTCGAAGTTATAGGGGAAAAAAAGAAAAGAATGATTCAAAAATGAAATACTAAACTCTCAATTTAGTATTAAGTTGTATCTGGGGAGATTAAAAAGATAGATCCATATAGATATAGGTATTTATGAATAGTGGGATATGAGGAAATTCAGAAGGCAAAAGTAAATAGATAACCTGAAGGTAATTATAACCAAATGCTTTTTTTTTTTTTTTTTTTTTTAATTTCAGAAACCCAAAGGAAAACAAGATGTGTGGCTATTAGAATGGAGTGATCAGGATTCAGAGTCTTCAAATAATACAGCCAGAAGCATTGTTTACTCAGGACAGCACTTCTGACCACGTATCTCCAAAGTACTCCGAAGCTTGGTAAGTGAAAAATAACGATCCTTTACATCATATTACAGTCCAGTTCTGTGGTTATGGTAATTCTGCTGGTGTATAATATTTTGAGTTTAATCTCTAAATGCTTACAAAATCTCTGACAGCATTTGTAATGGGATTTTAGTCTTTATGCCCCATTTCCTATTATGAATTTATACTCACTATTTTTGATACACTTGTAGAAAGCCTGTTAATCTATGTCATCTGAAAGCCTTCAGATGACACTGAATACTTTACATACTACCCATCCAAGAAAAAGAAATAAGGAAAGGAAGAAAACTTTTTGGGCAAACTGATGACAATCTACATGTAGCTATGATATTATTTTTTTTTATTTTTTTTTTACCTTTTAAATTAGAATTTGGACATATTCTGTGTATGTTAATTTGGAACACAAAGTATCTGAGACCTAAATAAAACTTATAAATAATTACCAGATCTTCAGGAAACTGCTCTCTAGAGGTTAGAGTGCTGGCAAGCAAGGTTTTGAATGCTATTGCTTATCCTTTTGGGATTGCAATGAAAACTTTGACTAACTAATCTAACAGATCTTGCCACTGAGCCTCTGCTGCAAATGTAGGTGAAATTGAAGCAAAAAAAATATAAATTCCATATATTAAGTTTAAAGTAAAATTGCTGATATATAATTTCCAGATATTGAAGTAAAAAGGAGAGATTGTTTAATGGAGCTGTACTCCACAACTTTGAGTACTCCAAGACTTCATTTATTGATAAATTCAATTCTGTAGAAGTTATTGTAACTTCAGTGCTAAGTATTATATAATTGTAAACAAATGCTTATAAACAGACTATAGGGAAATAATATTCATTACAGAAGATTACTAGCTTCTACCTGGCTATGAATGAAGTAATCTATTATCTGAAATTATTGCAAGTAACTGAAGTTTAAAACTGGACATAAAAATGAGCATCTGGATATAGCTAAGGTTTTCTGTATGCAGCTGAGCTCTTGCAATAATATTTGAGAACACCGTTAGCCTTTTAGCAAGTGAGGTGACATAAGAATGGCTGGAAATTAAGGAACTGCTTGGAAATAAATGTTATTGTTTTTGAGAATAAGTAAGGTTAGTTTTGCATTGTGCCAGAGTGCAATACCTTAGCATATATCTCCTTAGCATAAAAGTTTGTGACCAACAAAAACATTAAAAATGTAAATTTTCTTAAGGTATATGTATAATGTCAAACTGGTTTTGTTTTTGTAGTAGAAAAGAAAACAAGAATTCTGGCTGTCAACTGGATAAACAATTTTATTATTTTAATCAGTATTGCACACAAATCTGGATTTACTTCACTTTTGACAGTTGCTAGGACAAAACCCTATAGGTCCTGTGTACAAAGCTCATATAGAATTTATTTGGAGTGCAAGCTGTTTCAACTTCGCTTATTAAGCTGTTCTTAAATATCTGATCCTCATCTGTATTTGTCATGATTTTGTGTTGCCCTCGACTTTATTCTTTACTCACTGTACTCTTGGAGAAAACACTACCTTGCAACTACATATAAGTGAATATCTAATTTGGAATATGAATATGGATGTGAATGTGAATATGGATACATGAGCATGGAGAGGAGCTGTGCTTAAAGGTAAAGTGACCACTACAGTGGCTCTGGCTGAGCCTCTGTGGACTTTGCCACAGATGTTTCTATGTTCAAAATGAGATAAGAAAATCCAGTACCTGTTTTGAGAAGTGGTTGTTATGCTTTTCTGATTACCTGAGAGTGTGGTAGAAATACAGAGCTGAACATGGCGATAAATACAGGGAACTCTACAGAATTTGTTTTGGCTTTCACTGTGCAATTCGGAGGATAAGAAGGGAAAGACAGAAGGGAGATCAAATGAAATAAGTGGTAAGATAAATGGAATAGAAAATACAGCTGAGGTTGACTGAGGATGCTAACTGTCAGAGAGATGATAATTGTCCTTTCCAGGTTCATGCTCTAGGTGGATCCACATGGTTCTAAAATAACATAAAAGACAAGTTGAGAGGGATCCTGATTAGCAGGTAGAAGTTGGTTTTCTCTGAAGGCCAAAACTGCCTGACAACATTTCCTTGTGTTTTCCTTCCTCTCCAATGTTCCTTAGAGATGTGAGGAATTCTGTATTTTTAAAGCAACTTAACTGGTGGAGGATACTCTCCTCTGACATACCTGAAATTTGTGTTCTTTAGAAACTTCGATTTAAGAAGTTGGAGAATGTTTAGTCCTTTCCTGTCTGATGCTTCTGAAAGAACTAGGAGGGCTGCTCTGATGTGGTGTCAGTAACAGCAATCAGAATAATTCCTGAATATTACAGGACTTGCATGGAGGGATAGTTTTCATTTCTCTGCAGCCCTTCACATCAGCTTTTGATACCTGCATATCAAACTAGATATTTTGAAGTTCCAAAATGAGGCAAGTGAGGAAAAAATGTGTGGCAATTTATAAATGGCACACTGAAATTACTGTGGTTTGGAGAACTAGATTCAGCAGACTGGATTTCTCTTAACTCTTTTCTATTGAATTCCCACTCTTGTGACATTGTCTTGTGCCTTATAATTCATCCCCTCTCTTTAATTATTCACCCTTCATTAATACATATTTCTATGGCTGGTAAAAAGAGACAAGAGAATTGATTGGCATGACACCCCTGAGGCATTTAAACCAGCCTGTTGCCTCCAGACTGGCAGCCTGTCATAAGCTTAATATTTCATGTATAGAGAACATAATAGCACTATAAAAACAACACCAAACTTCATCTGTTGGCAGAAATGCAGCTTTGCTAAGACTGCTGTAAAGATCAAGTGGAAAGCTCTCTGGGAAAGTAATATTGACCCAATAATGTTAAATTTAAATTAAATCCATTATTGTACAGGAATAAATGAGAAAGCAGAACAAAACAAAAAGTTCTGGGGAAGTCGGACTCCACAAGAAGAGTACAGAAAAAAATACTGCTCACAAACTTAAATTGGCAGTGAAGGATTATATAAAAACAGATCTGTAAACCAACATTTGTTAGATAATACAAGGATGTTCTAAGTCTAAAAAAAAAAAAAAAAAAAACAACATAATTTTAGGATGGTGTGTGCCATTCTCGATGTATTGAGAGTATAGTTTTTGATTGTCAGAAAGAAATGCAGAATGACATACCTACTGAGATGAAGCCACAGGACTCCATTATTGTTTCTCCATATGTGATTGTCAGCAGGTCTTCCTATCTGTATGTAGTTTTCTCTTTTGATTGTCCAGAGGTAATATTTACATGAGGTATCGATTTCCTGTTCTTTTGAGGATTGCATCATAAACATAAACAACCATGGAAGTATAGGTGAGGGGCAGAACCTTACATGGTCGCAATAGGGGCATCATGCTACATAGCATTGATTTGACCTCTAAAGCTTAGTGTTCAGTGGTCTACATCTGTTACAACACAAGAACCGTCACTAATCAAATAACTATATATATGATATGGACAAGGAGCATAAGGAATAAAGCAATGGAGTACAATGCAAGTGACAAAATTCCCCAAATGGTATGATTGTTGCTGGCATACAGAGGGCTTTAGACTGCAGAAATAATTTCAGTGTAACCTTGAAGACAAGTTTGTCTGTGGTTGAGACAACAGTTCTGTTAACATTTTACACGTTCAGAGGATAACCCTCAGACAGAACAAGAAGAGAAAATAACATGTTTGTATATGTGGTCACTTAAGTTGTTTATAGTGCTGACACATACAGAAGCATAAAAGACCACGCTGCAGTCAGAAGAAACAGTGGGATGAGTCATCCACCCTGTTTTCAACATCTGCTTTAGAGCAAGATGAATGCTGCCCCAGAAATTTCTGCTTCTGTCCCTGTGTGAATGCAGCATGGGTAGCTGGCTTGGGTATGGGCAGCTGCAGATGGATTGCATCTCCAGCAATTTGAACACAATTCCCCATACCAGAAAACAGTAATTATTCTACAATTGGAGAGTACTATACAGTACCTGTAGGATCAGAGATTTAGTACCAGCAAACTTCATGTGGACTCTCGGATTGATAAAATAGCCCTGTTTGTTCTGTGAGACTTTATTGACATGCTAAGCTTTTTATCATCACTGCAGACCATCTAGGTCTATCTAAGGTTTTTTACTAGACATTCAGCAACTCAGGTTTCTACTATACAGTCAGGGTACCAAGATGTTTTAGTCTAAGTAGTTACCACAAATGTCCAGAGAAGCCAGTACTGAGAATTACATAGAATAAGAATACAAAAAGGATACTGTGTTAAAGCTACTGGCTGCTCCTCAGTTCTCAAACACATTGTTTACTTTTTTTTTTTTTTTTGATTTTAATAAGATTAAGAGCAGAGTACGTGTCAACAGTATTTTTGCCTGTTCTTATATACATTATTGATGTAACACTTACTATTCATATTTTTCTTAAAGCATTTTTAAGTTTGCATGACAATAGCTTTGCCTGCTTGAGGTTGTTCAATACATGTATACCTACAGACATCATAAATCCTGGAATCTTGGAGGCTTTTTTTCCTTGATCCATGTAGGTTACCTTTGGCAGTACTGGTCTTATCATCAACCCCTGATGCTCTGTCCCTTCTTTGGTAGTCTTAGGGAAGAAATAAACACATTATTGAGGGTAAGGAGTCACCATCAACCAACCTTATTTATGGCAGCTGAAGTATAATACATAGAGGGAATTTACACTTTTGTATGTTTAAATGACCCTGCTATTCTAAAAAGAATCTCTTAAAAACTTAGACTTTTGGTATCTTAAAAACTTTCAAAACTTTTAATGCATATGATTAAATGTATAATACTTCTTACCATACCCACACTGTCCAACTACATGGAAGTCAATAACTATTGCTGAAAAGTCTGTTTAAATTTGCAAAACTGCTTGTGCCATGTGCAATAATGGACATAAAGTGCTCTGTGGAGCAAGAAACCAGTGATTTTCTCTTGACATTAAAAATGGAAATCCTATTATT